TGCAGGATCTGGGTGCCACCTTCGCCCTCCAGTTCCAGACCCTAAAAAATGGGCCATTGACCATGCAAGCATCCTAGAACTCCAACTGTAGCTGCAGGTGTTCCATCAGATTGGAGGGTAGGGCAGTGGTAGAAAGACATTCCTTCACCATGTCCCCAAATTCCTGTGGAGGTAATGCAGAGCCTCTAATTGAATTAGTAGGGTTTGGGAGGGAATAGAGTGTTTTGTTTTTGTTTTCTTTTTATTTGAGACGGAGTTTCGCTCTTGTTGCCCAGGCATAACCTCTGCCTCCCGGGTCCAAGTGACTCTCCTGCCTCAGCCTCCCGAGTTGCTGGGATTACAGGCCTGTGCCACCACGCCTGGCTAATTTTGTATTTTTTGTAGAGACGGGGTTTCTCCATGTTGGTCAGGCTGGTCTCGAACTCCCAACCTCAGGTGATCTGCCCGCCTCGGGCTCCCAAAATGCTGGGATTATAGGCATGAGCCACCACGCCCAGATTTTTTTTTTTTTTTTATAATTCCGTATGTACTTCATTTTTATCCACAGCCATGTTCTTTTCTGCTGTCTCCCAAACAATTTTTTAAAAAGTTACATTGAATTATTGAATATTGACTATTTCTTATCCATCAGAATGTGAGCTCCACAGGAAGATTTTGTTTGCTTAGTTCACTGCTATATCCCCATTGTCTCCTGGCACGTAAACAGTTGTTTGGTAAGTGCAGTAGCGCAATCACATCTCACTGCAGACTTGATCGCCTGGGCCCAAGTGATCCTCCTGCCTCATCCTCCCACCACACCTGGGTAATGTGTTTTTTTGTTTTCACTTTTGTTTTGAGACGGAGTTTCGCTCTTGTCGCCCAGGCTGGAGTACAATGGCGCGATCTCAGCTCACCACAACCTCCACCTCCCAGGTTCAAGTGATTCTCTTGCCTTGGCCTCCTGAGTAGCTGGGATTATAGGCATGCGCCATCACGCCCGGCTAATTTTGTATTTTTAGTAGAGACGGGGTTTCACCATGTTGGTCAGGCCTGTCTCAAACTCCTGACCTCAGGTGATCCACCTGCCTTGGCCTCCCAAAGTGCTGGGATTACAGGCGTGAGTCACTGCACCGGGCCTTTTTTTTTTTTTTTGAGACAGAATCTCGCTTTGTTGCTCAGGCTGGAGTGCAGTGGCGCGATCCTGACTCACTGCAACCTCCGCCTCCTGGGTTCAAGTGATTTTTCTGCCTCAGCCTCCTCAGTAGCTGGGACTACAGGCATACACCACCATGTCCAGCTAATTTTTGTATTAGTAGAGGCAGGATTTCACCATGTTGACCAGGCTGGTCTCAAACTCCTGATCTCAGATGATCCGCCCGCCTCGGCCTCCCAAAGTGCTGGGATTACAGGTGTGAGCTACCACACCCAGCCTAATGTTTTTTATTATTTGTAGAGACAAGGTCTCCCTATGTTGTCCAGGTTGATCTCCAACTCCTAGGCACAACCGATCCTCCCACCTCGGCCTCCCAAAGTGCTGGGATTACAAGCATACACAGTGCCTGGCCAGTAGTAGTTGACTGGTTAATCAATGTGAGTTCAAGGTCCTGTGCTAAAAACTTTGTATGTATTATCTTTCATCAGGATCCCTGTTTTACAGGAGGAAATCGAAAATCAGAAGAGGTGGAGAATTTGCCCAAGGTCATACTCAAGACTGAAATATTTTGAAGGGCAATGCCCAGAACATAGCAGGCATTGCTCATTGCTATGAAGAGCTTATTCACACAGAGCCATTTGTGAACTCTTTCCTTTGGAAATGGTGACAGGCTGCCCCTCTGCATCCAGAGCTAATGCTATATGCCAAAGCTGAGATGTACTTTCCTTTCAGACAAAAAGGTACATTTCACACTGAGGACAGCTCAGCTTAGTAACCTGTGGCCAAGGAGCACCTGGGAGAGGGAACAGCTCAGGCTTTGAAGGCCTCCTGCCTGTGCTGTGCATGGGATCAGCTGATGGAGCTGGGGTAATTCAGATGTGGAGCTTACTCAGCAGCCTAGTGGCCTTTTTGGCCACAGAGCACCAACAACCACCCCTCCCCCAGCCCTGGTTCCCAAAAGCTTCCAGCTTAGAGAAAACGGAGCAGAAGTGCAGGGAGATGGTTTGGTTCCAACTCCAATCAGGAGGGAAGCTGATCACACACATATTCAAACTCCAATTAGGAGAGAAGCTGATCTCACACACATATACACTCAATTAAGTCTGGCAGTTGCCAAAGGTTAATAATGGAACTTATTATAGACTTAAGACAAAATGGCTTTGCTATTGAATTCCAAAATCTCTTCAACCAGGGTTCTCTCTGATTAATAACTGTAAGCTCATTTACAACACTGGCACACAACGTAGGCTAGACGTATAAATCTGGAAGGTCAGCATTGCTTGCTAGCCTGTATGACTTTGGGCAAGGTTCTTAGCCTGTTCCCATTTCCTCCTGTAAAATGGGACTAAAATGGTGCCTTCCTTACAGTGTAGATAAAGTTTATTACTCTATGAAAGATACTTATAGGCCTAGCATCTTGTAAGTACCTAAAAAGAACATCATGTAAATAATGACTAACTATTCACTAATCCTGTTCCCATTCCATCAGTTAATCCAAGGTTGAGAAGTCAGCCTGAAGTCATCCAGCAGATAAGACCTAGAAGTCTTCTGTGGCCCTGCCCTTCAGAGGTTTCTGGATGCTCTGCCCTTCAAAGGCTAAGTGATGCCATCACAGGAACTCTGTGAACTCTATGTCATTAGTTCAACAAATATTTGTCAAAAGTCTACTGTATGTCAGGCACTCTCTCAGCTGAGCATACTAAAAGACAGCCAAGGTCACTGCATTAGGGAACTTATGTTATAGTGGGAGAAACTGGCAACAAATAACGAAATTGAAATATATTTTTTGGTAGTGCTGGGAAGGGAATAGATGGCATATCTTAAGTATGTGCGACATGGACCTTTGTTTTTTATCACTAAGAGGCTCACAGCATCTGTCCAGGGCAAATGTGTAAAGCCTTGATTTGACAGACCTGGCTCTGAATTCTGGCTCTAAGTGACCTTGGTCTGATGAGTCAATCTTTCTGCCCTTCCTTCCTCATCAGTAAAACAGGAATACTAAGGTTGTTGTACAAATTAAAACATAAAACCTCAGTGTTTACCATTTTTCACTTTAGGTGGGCCAAGCTGGGACCTTGGAGGCCAGGTGGAACTGCAGGCTTGCACTGTATGTTTCTGAATGTCTGTTTTGGGACCAGGTATATGGTAATGGGGTTTCTTGTGGGAGCAGTTGCTCCTTCTCTGCCATTTGATGAACTAATTGCATTCTTTGCTCAAATCTCACCTTCAGTGAATCATTGCTGTTCAGGACTTAATGCAGTCTGGTAAGAATTAAAAGTTACTCTCTCTAACTCAGTAACCTCCAAATTGGATTTAGAAATACTAGAACTTCCATTTATCATATAATTGCTTTTTACTTTCTATTTTTGTGTCTTATGATTAGACAATACGTGATTATAGTAGTCCAAGTATATAATTTATAAACACATGGGATATGCATGATCAAAAGTTTACTAACAGGTATACAATCAGAAAAGGGGAAAGGCCACATGGAGTCTACAGCCCTCATTTTGCTTAACTAAGAAAGGGTTATTTCCATGAACTACCCTGCAGGCATCACTATGCTAATAAGCAGCAGGGTTAAGGAAAGGGCCTAGTCTCCTAAATCTCAACTAGTGTTCTTTCCAAGTTTCTTGGTGGGGGGCGGGGGGAAGGCAATGCAAGTACAAATGAAATACGTGATGAAAACTAAGTGAAAGGCCAACTTTTGGATGATCCGTTAGACGACACATCATTAGCTTGAGAAACAGGCACAAAACAGAGGACAATCTCTGCTCCTGCTTCAAACTCTCCAAACACAAAACCTCCTCCATGCATACTTTTTCCTTACCTCATTTGTAGGACACTGTTTCATCTACATCACATTACACTATGTAGAGTCCATTTCAAGATGTGTGTCCCTCCTTTCCCCCACACACATACACAAACACCTCTCACCACACATTCCGACTTCTTTCAAACCATTTCACCTCCATGGAGGTGACACCATTTAGGACAAAAAAAAAAAAAAAAAAAAAAAAGCAGCAAGATGTTGAAAATAAAAATAAAGCGGACTTTATTTAGAAGATAAAGGTGGTGGTTATCGGTTTTGGTTAATCTAGTTGGGCTCAAGTGTTTTACAGGTCTTAAATGCCATCACAAACTGGCATGCCAAGGGCATTCTGAATGCCAATTACAGATTGAAGTTGTTTCAAAAACAAAGATGCTATCAAAAGCTGATGGGAGTTTGGAAATTTCTTAAAGTCGGACTAATACACTTCTTAAAGAGTAAATAGACTGCTTGGTTCTGAAAGTTAAAACGCTACGCTGAGCAATTCCCCTTTCTTCACAAGTCCCTAAGGCAATATTACAGTTGCCTCTGACAGCAAGAAGTCCAACATTTCAACAGAGGGGGGCTGAGAAGAACTGAGAAAAATGAAAAGCAAAATTAATAAATGTAATTGATATAGGCAGCTGCCACTTGTGGTAAACCAAAGCCTAGTCTGATGCCCATTTTCTTCACATTTGCACTGACATCTTCCCAAGCAGATGGTAACTACATTCTTGAAGGAATATGCCAAGACTAGGGTGGGGAAGGCCCAGACAGTGAGTGGACAGAATGCATTTTGCATCCAGTTGCCTTAGGTGGTATAACTGATTTAAGGACAAATACCCAGACTATGGAAAATCCACTAGCAAAAGGTTAACTAGAAAAGAGGATTACATGCATAACCAGTGCAGAGTAACTGCAAGGCACCAAGACCACATCCAACCAGCCCATTTTCCTCCTCTCCACCACTGAATGGATCTGGGAGAAAGCATTAGTAACAGCACTCATCAACTGCTTCCCTGGAACAAAACATGACAAAACACACGGAAGGTTTTTTCATTATGGTTCTCGGTGTACTTTATTCTCCTGCTGTCTAGCTAAGCAGCCCACACAGGACAGAAATGGGTAGCACTGAGGAATGATCAGATTTTTTTTCTATCCCCAATATTTCTGCCCCCTCCCTAAGCCCTGACCCAAGCCTATCTAATAATCAGGAATGGTTAGTACATCATTCTGTTTCTCAAAGAACAACTGAAATGGAAACAAGGCATTAGAGGACCAGGCCTCTTCTTAATAGGGCTTAGGAGCTGGTATGAGCTCTTTATTCACAATGGAGCGTCTCTCCTTCAAATACCTGGATTTTTTTTTTTTTTTTGTACACTGGTTCATAGATCGGCACTTGACTTTGAACCTGGCACCAAAAGGCACAATATCTGATACCCTGTACAAGAGCTATTAGAGATGCTGCCATATGGATGGGCAAAACTGAGCCAATCCCACTTATGAATGGAAGGCTTGGACATGGAAGGGAGGATATAAATGAGGAGTTGGAGAAAAACACAAGACCATACTTTTTGCTAGAGTGGAAATGAAAGTGGGAATGAGGGTCTTGTTTTTAGTCCTCTAAGGACCAGGAAGCAATTTTAAAACTTCCTTGGTTTTTCTGAAAGCAGCATATTCAAACTGCCAGCAAAAACTCCTAACAACTGCAAAACCAAAAGAGGATCAAAGCTCACCAACATCCCTTCTTATTGCTGAAAGACTCTAAAATTCAGGATGCCCTGTTCCCCTGTAAAAGGGAAAATAATTAAGTCTGATTTATGGTAATCATACATCACACTTCTAAAAAAATATTAAAGTGTGTGACCAGGGGACGTTTGACACCATTTTATTAACCTTCAACTTCAGTGGAAAAATATAACCTTTTTCAAGTGCCATTTTCATCACAAGAGTTCTAGTTAGTGTGTTTGTGTATTCACACACACACACTTTTTTTGTTTTGTTGGTTTTGAAGTGCAGCAAGAGACCAATACCGCATTGTAGTCAATCAAATAAAAGAACAGAAGGCCAAGCAGTTTCCAAATGGTTATTTTATCAGATTGTTTGAACATTTAATTTATCCTGTTTGCAATCCAAAATAGTTACCTGAAGTTTGCTGTTCTGTGTGTATGTGTGTGTTTACTTTTATTGTATATTTATTTTTCTAAACTCTTTGGCACAATTTTCTGGGGGCGTTCAGACTGCCACAATACAAGTCAGGAGAGGGCGTTTTCTTTGTGCTGCCAATTCTGATCATTTAAATTTTGGTTTGTTTGGGTTGTGACTTTTTTTGTTTTTGAAATCTGCGTTATTTGTAACAATTGTACTTATATTTTTCTATATCCTCTAACGCCAGTTTTCTTTTTCTCCCCCCCTCCCCCCCACTTCTACATTCACAGTTGAACCATATTATTAGGAAAGGCGCCTTGATGAAAAGATCAGGATAGGAGCTCTGACCATTCGTCAGTGTTTTCCCTAGAATAAAAAAAAAAAAAACAAAAAAACGAAAAAACAAAACAAAACCTAAAGAGCGTCTTTCCTGTTTTTTTTTGTTTTTTTTTTTTTGTTTTGTTTTTGTTTTTTTTTTTACATCTCTTGTGCTGCATCAGTAGACAGAACTTCGGTTAGTTTTATGAAATGCAACATCTAACCCCTTGTTTTCTGGGAAAAAGAAACTGCAATGACTTGAAGTTGAGAATGTGGATACCGCCTCACTCACACACACTCATTCTCAGACTGTAAAAAATCCCTCACCCTCCTTCTAGCCGGCAAGCATAGAGTACCATGTGGCAAAGGTACAGCGAAGGTGGGCTTGAGACCCAGACTCCATCTTTCTCCTCAGTAGCAAAGGCCAGGCTGCCTTTTACAACAAAGCACCACAGCTGAACCCAGTCCCTCCTCCTCCCCCAAACCAGGCATTCCACTCGGCACCGGCCAAAAGACAGAAAAGCTACTTCTAGCCTCTCCTGGGAAGAGACAGCTTTCTTTCTTTCTTTTTTAATAAGTAACTCCATTGTTTTTCTCTTTTCCAAGATGGCCGATGTTACGGTTTTCTACGAAGTCAGTGCTTACTTAGCTCACTAACAGCGCTGCTGTTGGCGGCTGCGGCTGCTGCTGTGGCAGGATTTTCAATGTGGTGTGTTTTCAAGCCTCACTCACTCATCCTCTCATTCCCAAACATTCAGCATCCGTGCACACTCCTCACTTCCAGGTTTTTCAAAAGATTGGAGATTTCCAGTGGGGGTCCTCAGGTTATCATCCCAATGGTAACAGATCTGAAAACAGATGGAAAAAAAGGTCAATCTTTGAGATCGCATATACCCAACAGGGCCAATAATGCTGACTCCTACAATTACATGCTCCTAGGCCTGAATGGAATTTGTCAACTTTTCAAGGAATGACACTCTTCTTGTCCTATGTGCCATCCACCTGCTCTTATTAACACCTACATCAGAGGATTGGAGGGAAACTCAAAGAGCCAATTTTACTGAGATCTGTGGGGTAAGATAACTAATTAAGAGGTAAAGAAATTAAAACTATATTTCAGTCTGGGTGCAGTGGCTCAAGCCTATAATCTCAGCACTTTGGGAGGCCAAGGAGGCAGAACTGCTTGAGGCCAGGAGTTCAAAACCAGCCTGGGCAACTGGAGACCTTGTCTCTAAAAATTAAAAAAAAAACTAGCCAGTCATGGAGGCTCTTGCCTGCAGTCCCAACCACTTGGGAGGCTGAGACAGGAGGTCCAATTAAGCCCAGGAGCTGGAGGCTTCTATGAGGTATGATTGTACCACTGCACTCCAGCCTGGGTCACAGAAGAGACTCTGTCTCCAAACAAAATTGCATTTCAAAGTAGGAGCCAAGGCCTGGAGTGGTGGTGCACACCTGGGAGGCCGAGAAAGGTGGATCACCTGAGGTCAGGACGAGCCTGGCCAACATGGTGAAAAAACCTGTCTCTACTAAAAATACAAAAAAAAAAAAAGCCTATAACTCCAGCAATTTGGGAGGCTGAGGGGTGGATCACCTAAAGTCAGGAGTTCAAGACCAGCCTGGCCAACGTGATGAAACCCCACATTTACTAAAAATACAAAAACTGGGCCAGGCTTGGTGGCTCACGCCTGTAATCCCAGCACTTTGAGAGGCCAAGGCAGGTGGATCACGAGGTCAGAAGGTCAAGAACATCCTGGCCAAGATGGTGAAATCCCATTTCTACTAAAAATACAAAAAACTTAGCCGGGCGTGGTGGTGGTGGGGCACCTGTAATCCCAGCTACTCAGGAGGCTAAGGCAGAGAACTGCTTGAACCCAGGAGGCAGAGATTGCAATAAGCTGAGATCGCGTCACTGTACTCCAGCCTGGGCAACAGAGCGAGACTCTGTCTCAGAAAAAAAAAAAAAAAAAAAAAAAAAATTAGCTGGGTGTGGTGGCTTGCACTTGTAGTCCCATCTACTTGGGAGACTGAGGGAAGAGAATCACTTGAACCCAGGAGGGCAGAGGTTGTAGTGAGCTGAGACCACGCCCCTGCACTCCAGCCTGGGCGATAGAGTGAGACTGTCTCAAAAAAAAAAAAAAAAAAAAAAAAAAGAAAAAGAAAAAGAAAAAAGAAAATTAGTCAGGAGTGGTGGCATGTGACTGTAATCCCAACTATTCAGGAGGCTGAGACAGGAGAATTGCTCAAACCCAGGAGGCGGTGGATACAGTGAACCAAGATTGTGCCACTGCACTCCAGCCTGGACAACAGTGAGACTCTGTCTCAAAAAGAAAAAACACACACACACAAAAACAAAGTAGGAGCCAGACAACTTTGACTTTGGAAATCTTCTCTAGAGCTAGAAAACGTCTAAAAGCACTGCTGTAAAGAAAGAAAAGAATGGAAAGGAATAGAAAACAGAAGAGAATTAGGGGGAAATGACATTACTGATGATTTTATTAGGACCCAAAATACTCTGGTAATTTCAGTGAATTCCAGTTATAAAAGTTCTGCTCTCCATCACTATGAGGAGTCAAACATTTGGCTCAAGGAAAAACTGAGGTTGCCTGACTCAGAAGCACCTACACGGGAAACAGTACAAACAAAAAAATGCCAGAAGGCAGTGCTTGCCAGAATGGCCTGAAGAAAATATACCTCCCTCCTCCAAGAAGTAGAAGAGGACAGTGGAGGCAAGATCTTACCAAGCTTGGTTCTTCAGTTTCCTCAGTTCTTTTGTTGCCCATGTAGCAAGGGTTTTTGCTTTGTTAGTCTTCGATCTCCGCCCTTCAGTTAACAATTCATGGATCATTGGCCTAGCTTCTACTAATTTCAGTACATCCTTCCCAAATGCTGTACATAAGTCCCTGTGCAAAACAAACACAGCTGAGAATGAGCTCCTGGCCCCATACCAATATCATGTTTTGAGCCTTCCAAACCAGTGCTATGGGTTTCTTAGCATAATTCAAAGATAAATAAAACCCTCAGTAGAGTTCACTAAACAGAGGCAATTTGTTGACCAACATCAGAGTTTATTGGGGTGTAATACAGAGACCTTGAGGGTCTGGAATAAACTATCATGTGAACACTCAAAACAGGACATGAAGGGTTCTACAAAGAAATCTCTATGCCAAAGAAGTGAATTGTTGCCATCTGCGATACTCTCAAAACTCCTTACTCCATGTTTCTCATTTTCCATGAGAAGTTCTATTCAGCTCTTAGAAGCAGGGTATAACTTACCCTATTAGTCCGGCAGCACAAGCTACTACTCCATCTGTATGATCCTCATCTCCAGCAATGTGGTCAATGAAAGACAGAATAAATTCTACTCTGGGTTGTACCAGCATCACATCCGCTATAAAAGAAAGAGAAGGTATTGGTCAGGCGCGGTGGCTCACACCTGTAATCCCAGCACTCTGGGAGGCTGAGGCGTGTGGATCACGAGGTCAGGAGATCGAGACTATCCTGGCTAACATGGTGAAACCATGACTCCACTAAAAATACAAAAAAATTAGCTGGGTGTGGTGGCGGATGCCTGTAGTCCCAGCTACTCGGGAGGCTGAGGCAGGAGAATGGCGTGAACCCGGAAGGCGAAGCTTGCAGTGAGCCGAGACTGCGCCACTACATGCCAGCCTGGGCGACAGAGCGAGACTCCATCTCAAAAAAAGAAAAAAAAAAAAAAAGAGACGGTCTGATGCACCTGTCCCTCATATGGCAGGACTACATCCTTTTTCAAAATTTCCAACTATTATACCCCTATCATACAAGGTCCAAGCTGGATAACTAAATGCATATAGTTATATCAAATTATTCTTCCTTTGACTAATGTGTCATTCCTCAAGTCGACAGAAGAGACAAATATTCCTCTTCCTATAGGCAAATATAGAAGAAACAAATGTAACTTTTTCCTTAGCTATTGATACCAGAGGGGCGAAGTAAAAAAATTTCCCCAATCAGCAACAAGAACAAGTGACAGGAATTCTGACTCCCCAATCCTCCAATTTAGCTTGTGAGGATGGGAAGCGGGTAGGGGACCTGCCACTCATGGTTGATACAGAAAGCACTTATGTTGGGTTTCTTCCCCCCAACACTTTTGCAGAATCCCATCCCTTGCAAAACTCAAGAAATATGAGAAAAAGAAGCAGAGGGCTGGGTGCAGTGGCTCACGCCTGTAATCCCATCACTTTGGGAGCCCAAGGTAGGAGACTACCTGAGTTCAGGGGTTCGAGAGCAACCTGCACAACATGGTGAAATCCCATCTGTACTAAAATACAAAAGAAAAAAAAAATTAGCTGGGCATGGTGGTGCGTGCCTACAGTCCCACCTACTCAGGAGGCTGAGGCATAAGAATCGCTTGAACTCGGGAGGTGAAGATTGCAGTGAGCTATGATCACGCCACTGCACTCCAGCTTGGGTGATAGAGTAAGACCGTCTCCAAAAAAATAAAAAGAATAAATAAAAAAAATTAAAAAGGCTAGGCACAGTGGCTCAGGCCTGTAATCCCAGCCCTTTGGGAGACCGAGGCAGACAGATCACTTGAGGTCAGGAGTTCAAGACCAGCCTGACCAACAAGGTGAAAGCCTGCCTCTACTAAAAATGTAAAAATTAGCCGGGCATAGTAGCAGATGCCTATAGTTCTAGCTACTCAGGAGGTTGAGGCAGGAGAATTGCTTGAACCTGGGAGGTGGAGGCTGCAGTGAGCTGAGATTGCACCACTGTACTCCAGCCTGGGCAACAGAATGAGACTCCATCTCAAAACAAAAAAGAAAAAAAAAAGCAGAAGCACAGCAAAAACAATACTGTACAGTCTTCCCTAAGCCACTCTCTTCATTAGGGCACTGCTCTCCCTTCTTCCTGCCTTTAAGCAACAGGCACTAATTCACAAGCAAGCTACAGAATGACAGACATAGTCCATTTGGCTAAGTGCACACTGGCCAGTGGACGAAGGCAACTGGATTGTATACTCAACGGTGTACGTTCTCCTGATCCCCCTTCAATCCCTGGACGATTCCGGTATAGGCTTCCAAGCAGCTTTCCCTTAGCTCATTCAGATAATCCACCATGTCATAGTCTGACTGTAAGACACAAAGAACAGAACCTACATCATACTGAACACCTTTAGCTGCATGTTTGTCAACAGTCCCTCCAATTAGAGATAGACTTAAAGAACAGCCAAGATAGCTTTAAGCTTACCTTGTCCACCTGGGCTTGGGAGGCCTGCTGAAGAGTATTCAATACAACCTCTAAGTATTTCTTAAACTCTCCACCAATAGCAAGGGCAATATCACCAAACACTGACAGAATCTGCGGCTTCACAGACCTGTGGACGTTCTCATTCTGACAAGGAACAAAAGGAAAAATCAATTAAGTCAAAACTTGTTTGGTCCAAAGATCCACAAAAATTTCATTTCTAACAAGCAACTACTGATTTTAAATGTTTGGATGGTCCTTTATAGCTTACAAAACCTTTCCCAATTGCACCTCACATCAACTCTAAGAAGCTAGCCAGGTATTGGCATTCCCACTTTACACATGAGGCAACTGACTTAAGAGTCAAGTGACTTGTCCGAGAACACAGAAGCAAAGTAGCAAAGTTGGATATAGAACTTAAAGACACGTATAATAATTAACAATGGCTACCTCTGGAGAGAGGTATGATATACAAATGGTCCCCTGCTCATGATGGTTTTTCTACTTTACAATGTGTTTATTGGGACCTAACTCCATCATAAGTCAAAGAACAACTGTATTTACTTTTCCTTTGCATTTTACTGTTTTGTTTTAAAAACCTCTAATAGAGCACACATTCCTTTAATTAACTTTACACTTTCTTTAGAATCATCCGTGAAATGAACAACTCCCCTGTTTATAAGCCCAAAGCCAATGTTCTAGAAACTCACAGCTCCCTGTCACTGATTTTTTTTTTTTTTTTTTGAGATGGAGTTTGGCTCTTCTTGCCCAGGCTGGAGTGCAATGGCGCGATCTTGACTCACTGCAACCTCCACCTCCCAGGTACAAGCGATTCTCCTGCCTCAGCCTCCCGGGAAGCTGGGATTACAAACCCCTGCCACCACGCCCGGCTAATTTTTTTTGTATTTATAATAGAGACGGGGTTTCACCATGTTGTCCAGGCTGGTCTCGAACTCCTGACCTCAGGTGACCCCACCTACCTCGGCCTCCCAAAGTGCTGGGATTACAGGCCACTGTGCCTGGCCTGTCGATATTTAACTATCTTTCCAACTATTGATTTCTTCAAAGAAGACTGGTTAATTAGATTGTGTGTAGATACTCACCCCCAAATTTTCCAGAAGCAGCTGCATCACCTCATCACAGAAAGGTATGATGTTGGATTGCAGGGCACGGCATAAGTCTCCCACTAAGCCCACAGCTGCCAAACAAACCTGCCAAGAATCAAGGAAATAATCTTCTAACAGAAAAGGCTGCCTGCTGGGGCAAGACATTATTTTTAACTAGCTGCTAGGCTTTTATCACTTGAACCTAGAGTCAAAGGAGAAAACATCTTCCCTCTGCCGAGATTAATTTTTCAGCAACCAACACGGCAGGAAGGGAACAAAGACTATCTGAGAGAGATCACTGATAAAGGTTTAAAAAAACAAAAAAAAAAGCCTTGCTCTCCAGGGTGCTGATAGCTCAACTTTACAGCTGCTCCCGCATTAGTACTGTCTAGGCAAATAAACAGTCATCTTATCCACCTTTATCTGGTGCATCTAATATCCTGTTTTTCATGGACTACTTCCAGTTCAAATATTCAGGCAATGAATAAAGCAGCTTGCCTTTTAGGAAAATGTATAAGGAAAACTACTTAAGCTATAAGAACCTGGTTTTGTCTGCACTACAGTGACTATCAGGTATAAATGGGAATATACTATTTTGAAAAGCATATCCTACCTGGTACTCAGCATAATTTTTTAATCCAATGCCCAGGAATGGTTTAAAGGCCTCCATGTACTTGAGGAATTCACCACCCAACACTGTAATGAAATAAACTATTAGCCAATGACAGCACCACGGGTTAACACAGAGGCAGGTAAAAATAACCTATAACCTACCTCTCCCAAAATGGACTCACTCCACTCAACAGGTTGGGTGGAATGTATGTTAGTTACCGATTCCATCATGAAGACATTAAAGGCTTGCATAAGCCAAATTTATTACTGCTGGAAGGGCCCTAATTCTTACACCACAGAGACAATGCCCACTCTCCACAGAATAGGGCTTTACTCTGGCTAATACAACAAAGTGGTATGGCCCTCAAGGAATGTTGGGGTTAATTTTAAATGGTCTGAACCAGCAGTACTGACTCTTGTCCGCCCCCTCATCTGATAACAGCATGTCCTTTCTGCAGGCCAGCTGCAAAACAGGGTCCTTAGGCAGTCCCATCAAGGGCTAAACAAGCCACAGTCAGGAAAAGCAGCACTGGGCTTCAGATCCAAATCAGCCACTCCAGGAGCCAAAATTAACTTCTTTGCCCTTTCAGAGGAGTGGTCACATGTTGACAGACCAGTTGGACATAGGCTGTTTATGCCAAAAACAGGTCTGGTCCTCAGGAGAGTGGTCCTCAGGTAAACGGCCTTAGTAATGTACTTACAGGCCACACATGAAGAGGCATTCCAGATTCCTAAAGTGCTTTGTAATGGCCCTTCAAAGAGTCTTAAGTCAGATATGGCTTCCCCAAACCAATTTTGCAGACATGTAAAAATCAGAAAATCAATTCCTAGAACTTGCTCAATGTTTCATTTCATCCCATACCAGGCACCATGTGTCAACCTTAGTCCAAAAGCATTACGAACCAAATCAGGTGATGGCAAGTACCAGGAAAGAAAATAGAAACTTTTGGCAGGGCACAGTGGCTAACGCCTATAATCCCAGCTACTCAGAAGGCTGAGACAGAAGAATTGCTTGAACCTGGGAGGTGGAGGCTGTGGTGAGCCAAGATTGTGCCACTGCAATCCAGCCTGGGCAACAGAACGAGTCTCAAAAAAAAAAAAAAAGAAAAAAAGAAACCACCTCTACCAATCTTAGCTGCAAACTGGCTCTCCATTTAAATTGACTGACAAGGCAGTTATACAAATTTAAGTGGTGTGCACTTAAGTTCAATCTAACTTTGAAGTGACTTATGCCCCAGTAAAAGGACTATGCTTTCTGTAGTCAAAAATTCTTTAATGTCCTGGCAAGGAGGATTGCCTGGGCCCACAAGTTTGAGGCCAGCCTGAGCAATATAGTGAGACCCTATCTTCACACACACACAAAATTAAGCTGGGCCCAGTGGCTCACATCTATAATCCTACCACTTTGGGAGGCTGAGGCAGGAGGATCACTTAGGAGTTGAAGACCAGTCTGGGCAACATGGCGAAACCCCGCCTCTACCAAAAATATAAAAATTAGCCGGGCATGGTGGTGTGCACCTGTAGTCCCAGCTACTCGGGGAGCACTGAGGTGGAAGGATCACTTAAGCCCAGGATTTCAAGGCTGCAGTGTGCCAAGATTGTGCCACTGCTCTCCAGCCTGGGTGACAATTATTTACGGCCACTGAAATGCCTACATTCCAAAGACATTCCCTGACCAGACAGTATTTCTCACTGACCTTCCACCAGTGTGCTAACTGCCATCAGGGCATCCTCTTGTACTCCCCCAGATCCAGCTGTGCTTTGGAACATCCTTAACAGGGAGGCCATAACCACATCAGAGATCTGCAAAGCATCTTGATGTTGCACTTTCCGAAGAACATTCTGTGAAATAAGAGTTCAAGATCAGTTGATTCCAAATCTTCCATTCAGAACACTATACCTTTTCTTTTTAAAATCAATTAAGTCCCTTGATATTTTTAAATTTTGGGAATGCCAAATGTACTTTTTATACTCAAAAACATTGACAGTACCAGTCATCAGCAATGCATTTTAACATTTCTCCTGTTTCTCATTTCAGAACAAACGTGAGCTGATCCTCCATTGTGCAGAAGGTCATTTCCTCTGAATTGCGTTTGTCTTACTGTCTGACAAATCCCTGCTGGTAGCCTCCATAGTCCAGTCTTACTAGAATGATAGTTAAATTACTTCAGCTTTAGAGAAGGCCCTATCACCTTACTCTTACTCATAAAACAAACAAAAAGCAACCCTTCCTATATCCTACCCATTTACAGATGATCTAGAAATAATCTTGATACAATCAAACCAACCTGACTTCTTCCATCAAACATTCCTTCCTCGCTCTTGTTTGTTTCAACTAATATCACTGACATTAGGTCAAACAGCAAATGTTTCAAAAGATGAAGGTACAAATTCAAGGCTTTATTTTTAGCCAAGTGAACTACAGCTAGGAACCAAATCTGACTGAGCAAGGCTTGAATAACCTAACAAAAAACCAAGAGTTTTTTGGTTTTCAAAATCGAAATACCAAAACCATTCAAGCTGCCAACACAAATGAACTATACAGCTGAGAGGAACCATCACACATCAAGTAGTTTCCTTCTCTACACAGTGATGTTAGTTGAAACAAACAAGAGTGAGGACGGGAGGTTTGATGAGTGTATATTGAATTAGGAGAAGTTAAGTTGGTTTGATTTTATCAAGATTACATCTAGACCATCTGTAAGTAAGTAGGATTTGAATCTTTCTAGACAGACAGGAAAGGCAGGTGGGAAATTCCTCTCCCAATCAATCACAGATCAAAGCCTTCTGAGAACAGCTTCTGATCTGCATCATCTATACCATTTTTGAGTTCTGTGTGTACACGAACTTGTCATACTGAGATATTAATTATCTTCTCTGGAGTTAAGAAGTGATAAGGCACCATCATACCTGAAGAGTTGCACAGAGTAAAGACTGAAGGTCATTGAACTGGATTCTATCCGATGTGCTCTGGATATGTGACTACAAAGAAAATAAGAAAACATACTTTACATAAAAACCTTCCACTTTTGCTGGGACCACTTAATAATCTTCCCTAATACTAACATAGGCAAGTAAACAACAACAACAACAACAAAACCCATAATACATATAGTGGAACACATATATGAGTAAACCGTGACAAGCAATGCTAATGTTAAAGTGCAATGTTTTTTTGTATAAGCTTTATATCTTTCTGAGAAAATATATACTTAGGCCGGGCGCGGTGGCTCAAGCCTGTAATCCCAGCACTTTGGGAGGCCGAGACGGGTGGATCACGAGGTCAGGAGATCGAGACCATCCTGGATAACACGGTGAAACCCCGTCTCTACTAAGAAATACAAAAAACTAGCTGGGCGAGGTGGCAGGCGCCTGTAGTCCCAGCTATTCGGGAGGCTGAGGCCGGAGAATGGCGTTAACCCGGGAGGCGGAGCTTGCAGTGAGCTGAGATCCGGCCACTGCACTCCAGCCTGGGCTACAGAGCGAGACTCCGTCTCAAAAAAAAAAAAAAAAAAAAAAAAAAGAAAATATATACTTAAACACTAAAAAGACAGAACAGTCCGGAAAATAGACCTAGGCGTCAAAAGTACTGCCCCATTCCCACCCATAGTCAGGGGTGCTCTTAGATCTCACCTCCATCTGAAGCACCTGTTGTAGTCGTTCCATGATGACCAAAGTCGTTTTCTGGACAGCAGGATAACAATCCTTGGCACTGTTTTTTACAATTTCCATCAGAGATTCATATGCAGAACTCCGCAGGTTGTTCTGGTGCCCATCAGGTCTGTAAAGAACACAGCAAAAATCTTAAAGTCTCAACTGAAAAGGACAGGGAAGGACATAGACAATGTCTTGCCAAAAATAAGAACTCAGGAACTGGTATGACTGCGGACCTGGTTTGAGTCTGGAAACACAATATCCAAGAACCAAATCTTCAAGTCCTTTGAGCCAATGGCTATGTTCATTATGGTCTCCAGACAGTTAAAATTTAGAATGGCCCTTTTAGGAAATGGGCTAAAATTATAGAGGAAAAAATGGTTTGAAATGGTAAAGAATCATGTGAACAATTTAAAAGGTTGTCTGAAGAGCTATGAAGAAAATACCCCAATTTTCTCGCCTAGATATGGTGGCTCATGCCTGTAATCCCAGCAATTTAGGAGGCTGAGGCGGGCGGATCACTTGAGGTCAGTTTGAAACCAGCCTGGTCAACATGGTAAAACCCCATCTCTACTGAAAATATAAAAATTAGCCAGGCGTAGGGGCGCATGCCTGTAATCCCAGCTACTCAGGAAGCTGAGGCACAAGAATTCCTTGAACCTGGGAGGTGGAGGTTGCAGTGAGCCGAGACTGCACTCCAGGGCAACAAGAGCGAAACTCTGTCTCAAAAACAAAAACAAAAACAAACAAACAAAAAAAAGAAAATACCCCAATTTTCTTCATTCCTTTAAAAAAGATGTCTTCATTTACAATCTCAAAGAGGCATGGAGATGATGGGCACAGTGGCTCAGGCCTCTAATCCCAGCACTTTGGGAGGCCAAGGTGGGCAGACCACCTGAGGTGTCAGGAATTTGTGACTAGCCTGGCCAACATGCAAAACCCCATCTCTACTATAAATACAAAAATTAGCCAGGCATGTTGGTGGGCACCTTTAGTCCCAGCTACTCCGGAGGCCGAAGCACGAGAAACACTTGAACCCGGGAGGCTGCAGTGAGCCAAGACTGCACAATTGCACTTCAGCCTGGGTGACAAGAGCGAAACTCTGTCTCAAAAAAAGGGGAGATTTTTGTGCTCAGCTCAGGTTTACTTTGCTCATGACTTTAGGTATAGCTCACACAAAACATGAACTGTTAAAGGTTGTCTCCAACTTAAAACACCTTTAAACAACATTTCAAAAGCTTTTTTCTAAGTCAACTGCATTTACCCCAAGTTCTTCATCCCACATAAAAATATGGTAGTTGGCCGGGCACGGTAGCTCATGCCTGTAATCCCGGCACTTTGGGGGGCCAAGGCAGGTGGATCACGAGGTCAGGAGATCGAGACCATCCTGGCCAACACAATGAAACCCCATCTCTACTAAAAATACTAAAATTAGCTGGGCATGGTGGCTTGTGCCTGTAGTCCCAGCTACTCAGGAGACTGAGGCAGAAGAATCGCTTGAGGAGGTTGCAGTGAGCCGAGACTGCACCACTGCACTCCAGCCTGGGCAACAGAGCAACACTCCGTCTCAAATAATAATAATAATAAAAAATAAAAATAAAATAAATGGTATTGATTTGGTGTGGCAATCAAATTCATAATGAATACTATCATTTCTCTTGTAACCGAACACTCCTGTTAACTGTCAATGCTGCAAAATGAAGGAACCTCTCTAGATCAATAACTGTCTACAAAGAAACTAGAGAAATTACACTATATTCAGATTTAAGCTATAAACTGAACAATTTTAAGGTAGGTGGAATTTGCATCTCTTTCTCTATCTTTAAACAAACCAGTCAACCAATCATGGGATTCTTTTTTTTTTTTTTTTTTTGAGATGGAGTTTCACTCTTGTTGCCCAGGCTGGAGTGCAGTGGCGCAATCTCAGCTCACTGCAACCTCTGCCTCCCAAGTTCAAGCAATTCTCCTGCCTCAGCCTCCTGAGTAGCTGGGACTACAGGCATGCGCCACCACACCCGGCTAATTTTTTTGTATTTTTAGTAGAGACGGGGTTTCACCATGTTGGCCAGACTGCTTTCGAACTCCTGACCTCAGGTGATCCAGTTGCCTCAGCCTCCCAAAGTACTGGGATTATAGGCGTGAGCCACCGCGCCCAGTGGGATTCTTTTTTTTTTTTTTGAGACCGAGTCTCGCTGTTGCCCAGGATGGGAGTGCAGTGGTGCAATCTTGGCTCACTGCAAGCTCCGCCTCCCGGGTTCACGCCATTCTCCTGCCTCAGCCTCCTGAGTAGCTGGGACTATAGGCGCCCACCACCATGCCTGGCTAATTTTTTGTATTTTTAGTAGAGACAGGGTTTTACCTTGTTAGCCAGGATGGTCTTGATCTCCTGACCTCGTGATCTGCCGGCCTCGGCCTCCCAAAGTGCTGGGATTACAGGCTTGAGCCACCGCGCCCAGCACTGGCGGGACTCTTAATTCCACTAGAGAAGGTAGAGTCTTGTCCTGTCTCACTATGCTTCTATGATTAAGCTAGATATCCTCCACATAGAAGGCAACAGAACTTGGATGCAAAGACGTTACTCATTTCTGTGAAATATCAGTTACCTGTCTGTAGTCTCCAGGAGCTTCTGAACTATGAGTTCAAATGAAGAAGACAAGCAATAAGTAGCTGGTTCTTCCTGATCATCAGCAACATCTGCAGCTTCATAAGCAGCTTCAGCCAGACTGGAGAAAGCCTGAAATGCAGATAGGTTCAGTGTTAATCCTGAAAGAACCCCACACCTTAGGACCATCTCATTTTTCATTAAGATACTTTGGGCTGTGTCAGTGAACTTCCAACTTTTTCTGCCAAGGTAATCTCTAAGATGGCATTTTACGGGTGTCTTTTAAATTAACTATTTATTTATTTGATTTGTACTTTCTGTTCATCCTGTCTGATAATCTGACAACTCTCTAAGCAGCAGAGTACTTTCACCAACACCTGCCATTTCTTCTGTTTCTGATCACAGAAATCCTGTCCATTTCATTTCTCCTGTTTCCTTTCACAGACTTTTAGCCCCATTCCTTATATTCCTTATTTGAACTTCCTCCCCTTAAGCAAATACATTAGCCTATACTGACTCAGCATTTAGGCTGCCTACCTTCCTTTCCTCTTGCCCTCTTCTCAGCAATGATACTTCTTGTAGCCAACAACTCTCTACCTTAATCAAAACTTCTTGTCCCCAAGCAATTCAAGAAAGCAACCCAAGTCCAGATAGTTTCCCCACTGGGTTACCATGACTGTTCTAAGTGGTTCAGGAACCAGTAACCGTGAGTCAACTGTTCCCACTGGCTCTTGCAGTTGGAATCTCCCCCACATTTTAATTGAATAAATTAGGAAGAAAATGTTATTCAGAAAAAGGCTTCCAGTGAGGCAGATCCATTTCTCTCCCACACCTTCTACTTTCTTGCCAATGGCAAAGGCAAGCTCCTTTTCTCACCCGGAAGAAAACCCCTTACCCAGCACACATTTGAAGCCACTCTGGGTTCAGCACTGAGGCCCTCAATCAGACACTGCAGCAGGGGAGCCAAGTAGACATCATTGATGGCAGCTTCAGGAAGCAGCTCACAAATTCTGCCTACAGTCCATGCAGCTGTATCTCGAACAACTACACTGGGGTCTTTCATTAATTCTATTAAGGTGGGCATAGCCTGAAAATATAACAGTTATTAGCAAAGCAAAACAAAGATTAAAATTCATGTTAACTACTACTTCAGAAAAAGAAATACTAATGGATGGCTTAACTCAAAAAAGTCACCACGATACTTTTGTAATTTTACAGGACATGGTATGAAACATCTTTCAAAATATTTGAAAATATCTTTCAAAACTCCAGTTTAGAGTTTTATATTAAAAATTTGGTATAAATGCTTTCAGTAGTCTGCAATAAATTACTCAGATAGAGGCCGGGCATGATGGCTCATGCCTATAATCCCAGCACTCTGGGAGGCTGAGGCAGGCAGATCACTTGAGGTCAGGAGTTCAAGACCAGCCTGGTCAACATGGTGAAATCCAGTCTCTCTACTAAAAATACAAAAATTAGCTGGGCATGGTGGCACATAGTCCCAACTACTCAGGGGGCTAAGGCACGAGAATTGCTTGAGCTGGGGAGCTGGAGGTTGCAGTGAGCCTAGATTGTACCACTAAGCTTCAGCACTCCCCCTGCCTCCCCACCTCAAAAAAAAAAAAAATTACTCAGATACTCAGAATTCCCAGGATGCAGCTACGATGGCATCTGGCTATATCCAGAAAGACTGAATTCTTTAAGCACTAAACTCAAGTATAACAAACTCCTTTTCTTTTTTTTGAGATGGAGTTTCACTCTTGTTGCCCAGGCTGGAGTGCAATGGCACGACTTTTAATAAAAAAACAAGCACAACATTTCCACAAGAACATTTTCATTATATAAAGGCCATTTTGTCCAAAGAATAGAATAATAATGCCATTATTTAAAATTATGGGGAATCAGTGCTAGGTGCAAAAAAAAATTATCGGGAAATGTTTACAACATAGTATTAAATGAAGAAACAAGTTATAAAACAATCTGCACAGAAAGCGCCTGTTGCACACACATTTACACAGGAAAAAGCTTCAAGGATAAATACAGAGTTAAGAGCGGTTATTTCTGGGCAATGAAATTAAAGGTGACTTCTCTTTTGGCTTTTTTCGAAAGTCTCTGGATCATGCTGACTAATTAGAAACCTAAGAAATACATTTTACTCTCATTAAAAGTAAATAGGTATCTATAAATAATCTTTGTAGATGACAATTTACAGTTTTGTTTTGAAAAATAAAGATATGCTTTAAGTTTAAACAATAAATATTCTACTTTCTACTCCAAAAATCCCTCAGCTTCACCTGTATAACTAGTGGTTTGAGCTGACTGGGCTCTGGTCCTTCCAAGATACAACCAAAAGCCATCACTGCTGCATCCCGGTACCGCCAATCTGGGTTCTTGATGTGTTCTTTAATGAACGGGAGGACATGTGGGACAATGTCATCTTCACAGCAGGTGGCCAGAAGCATGAGGCACACCCCTGCTGCTTTGCAGGGGTTCCAGTCATCGTCATCATCATTTTCGTCCTGGTGAAAGAATATGGCACTAGTTAAGATTTTGTCCAAAGAATCATTTTAACTCTAAAGGTCCTCTGACTACTTGAATGTCTTTAGAACTTAAACTTCAGGGAAATAAAATATAAGACCTTTATATTTTATCTCTTCCACAAACATTCCTCACAGCATAGTCTTTGTTAAACAAGATTCAGAAGGAAGAAGATTCCATTTAGTACTAAACAACAAGAATGAAAAAATTTCAACTACATCCAAAAAGAATGAATCCCAAACATTTAGAACAAAATGCAGAACTAGAGTGTATGCTGTATGATTCCAGTTATATAAAGTACAAAATTGGCCGGGCGCGGTGGCTCACGCCTGTAATCCCAGTACTTTGGGAAGCTAAGACAGGTGGATCACCTGAGGTCAGGAGTTTGAGACCAGCCTGGTCAAGGTGGTGAAACCCCGTCTCTACTAAAAATACCAAACTTAGCCAGGTGTGGTGGCACGTTCCTGTAGTCCCAGCTACTCAGGAAGCCAAGGCAGGAAAATTGCTTAAACCTGGAAGGCGGAGGTTGCAGTGAGCCGAGATTACACCACTGTACTCCAGCCTGTGTAACAGAGTGAGACTGTCTCAGAAAAAATAAATAAATAAAAAGAATAAATAACGTCCAAAATCAACAAAAATTAACTTATGGAATAACAGACCAGGAAAGTGAGGGAGTTTCATGACTGGAAAGAAGACATGATTCAATCAAAAGTTCAAAAAAGAGGCAAGGCGCAGTGGCTCATGCCTGTAATCCCAGCACTTTAGGAGGCCAAGGCAGGCAGATCACTTGAGGTCAGGACTTCGAGACCAGCCTGGTCAACATGGTGAAACCTGGCCTCTACTAAAAATACAAAGATTAGCTGGGTATAGTGGCACATGCCTGTTAATCCCAGCTACTCGAGAGGCTGAGGCAAGATAATCACATGAACCTGGGAGATGAAGGTTGTAGTGAGCCAAGACTGCCCCACCACACTCCAGCCTGGATGACAGAGTGAGACTCTGTACCCCCCACCCCCCAAAAAAGACAAAAAACAAAAACACAAAAGTTCAAAAAAGAAAAGATTCCACTAATATCTCCTCTTAAGTTAAAATCCAAGGTATAGCTTCCTAATTGTGGCCATTCACACCACATAGTAACTTAAGGCAGGTTGCCTACGCAGTTTCAGAAAATCACACAAAGAATAATTTGTTCTCAAAGAGGAAAAGCACAGTAAAAATATAAGAAAGTAGGCCGGGTGTGGTGGCTCACACCTGTAATCCCAGCACTTTGGGAGGCCAAGGTGGGCGGATCACAAGGTCAAGAGATCGAGATCATCCTGGTCAACATGGTGAAACCCCATCTCTACTAAAAATACAAAAATTAGCTGGGCGTAGTGGTGCATGCCTGTAGTCCCAGCTACTCAGGAGGCTGAGGCAGGAGAATCGCTTGAACCCAGGAAGCAGAGGTTGCAGTGAGCCGAGGTCGCACCACTGCACTCCAGCCTGGCGACAGAGTGAGACTCCGTCTAAGAAATAAACAAACAAATAAATATAAAATATATATACACACACACACACACACACACACACAAAAGACAAGACACAAAGTCAAAAGATAAAAATAGCAACAATAGGCGAGGCGCAGTGGCTCATGCCTGTAATCCCAGCACTTTGGGAGGCTGAGGCGGGCGGATCACCTGAGGTCAGGAGTTCGAGACCAGCCTGGCCAACATGGCAAAACCCCACTTCTACTGAAAATACAAAAATTAGCTGGTTGTGATGGTGCGCACCTGTATTTCCAGCTACTTGGGAGGCTGAGGTGGAACACTGCTTGAACCCGGGAGGCAGAGGGTGCAGTGAGCCGAGATCATGCCATTGCACTCCAGCCTGGGCGACAGAGTATGACTCCGTCTCAAAACAAAAGAAAAAAAAACAAAAACAAAAAACCTGAAAGGAGAGGTTAAAATGTAAGGGAACATCCAGTTCATTTTAATCCAAACACATCCCTACTTAGCTTTTGAAACTATTATATTGAGAATCATACACATCCCTAAAAACAATTACATTCCTGTGTACAAAGAAATGATGCAGTGCTCAGTTACCAGCATTGTTTCCTCAGAGTACTAGCAGCTCTTTGGTAATAACTTCACATGCACCAAAAGAACCTTCCCAAACACCGTATCAAGAAACACTGTGTTGCATAAAGTCGGGAGAACAAAAGCAACCAGGACACGGTCCTCATAAAAGAACTTCTATATTTACTCATTAGACCCCAATCTTTATGAAGTCTTGTCACTTCACTTTCAGTCTGAATCTTAATAATTCAAGTTAATCATCTTAAAGGATTAGTAGAAGGCTTTCTTTCTTGGGTTGGGGTCCTTCATTAGGATCTGAATAACTCATATCCAACTTCTTTAGCATTTTAAAAGCATATACCCTGTGAACTCACAAAAGTATCCTAGACATTAGAACAGATAGGCAAGTGGCCTAAAACCAGCATATCTTTGCTCCCAACCTTGCTTCACTGAAGCGTTGATAGAGCACCTCTCTTCTATGAGTTTGGACAATGGAGCACTCAGGAAATCAGAGCAGCATGTGGCTCACTCCTGAGCAAGATGCATCTGAGATGTTAAGACCTAGTTCTCCTTCACAAAGAAGTCAGAGCCTAGGGGATCTTCTAGATCCAGCTTAGCTGTTCCTGAGCCATCAACAACAGAACATCAAATAGTTGATGGGTTGCCAAGTTCCTTCCATGGAAACTGTTCCACAGCAAACAGTTTACTCTTAGTAAGGTTTCACAGCTTACCTACCTATATTTGGAAGGTAACTCACCTGTTTCGTTAGTGTCTGTGTGAGGATTGGAACCAGATACTGTAGTGCTCCCTTGGCATAAAACTTGCTGGTGTGCTCAGGGGGCCGTCCTTGTTCTGCTGCCTGAGGAGAAACAAAGCAAATTCTAGACAAAAGCAACCAAGCTCTGTATACTAAAGGCATACAATGAGAGCTGACCAGGAATCTCTTAGCAGAAACAGAAACATACAGGGACAAATGGTAACATACAATGTGATCTTGGAAAGTGCTCATTTTTTGGTCTACTTCAGTGAGAATCTTTTAGGCCCTTTTAGGCCATATATTACAGGTCCAAGGCAACATTGAGTATAACTTTTTTTCATAAGTTCAATTCGTATTGTCAACCTGATATTTAAGTGTTCCTTGGATCAACACACACACCCAGTTTGCCTAAAGATGCCAAAAAAAAAATTTTTATTTTTGTCCTGAAATAAGACAAGACAAAGCTGGAAACAAAACTCTGAATTCAAAGATTCCAAATACAGAACTCCCCCTTCTCCCCCATATCTGACTCTTTCACCAGAGTTAGTAAAGTATCAATTATACATCCCAGGCTTGCATTAGGACTTCCAAAAGGAAGTAATTCAGCATCAGGTATCACCTTGGTAAACTGCAACAGCCTGCTGCCCCCTTGTGTTCACAGTGATAATACCACTATTTATGCTCAATCATGCCTGACTGCTTGGCAAAAACTGAGAGCCCTCATAAATTATCTGCCTTCTTCATGAAGGGCTCTGGCTAGCAGAAAAGTCAAAATCTCTGCCAATGGAGATACCCTCTAAACCCAGACAGAATAAAGTTCTCCTAGAAGGGGAATGTCATCCACAAATGAGATATGTCCCAAAGTCTATTCAGAATAATAAGTTCTCCCCAGCTCACCTCTGAAGCCTCAATGGCCAAATCCATTTCCTCATCACAGACATTGGACCAGAATTCTATCCCTTGTAGGGCCACCTCATCAATGTCACTTTTCATTGCTTCAATTGTGATCTTAAGAAGAAAAACACCCCAGGCCCCAAATAAGTATGGATTCAAGTGAGTCCCTGCCCCAACCCGGCTTTAACCATAGGCATGCAAATTTCAGAAATGTAACTTATAAAAAGCAAGCTAGGCTTGAAAGAAAAGATAGAAAAAGGGGCCGGGCGCGGTGGCTCACGCCTGTAATCCCAGCACTTTGGGAGGCCGAGACGGGTGGATCACGAGGTCAGGAGATCGAGACCATCCTGGCTAACATGGTGAAACCCCGTCTCTACTAAAAAATACAAAAAACTAGCCGGGCGAGGTGGCGGGCGCCTGTAGTCCCAGCTACTCGGGAGGCTGAGGCAGGAGAATGGCGTGAACCCGGGAGGCGGAGCTTGCAGTGAGCTGAGATCCGGCCACCGCACTCCAGCCTGGGTGACAGAGTGAGACTCCGTCTCAAAAAAAAAAAAAAAAAAAAAAAAAAAAAAAGAAAAGATAGAAAAAGGAAGATTTTTCTTTCTTTTGGAGATGGGGTTTCACTCTGTCACCCGGGCTGGAGTACAGTAGCACAGTCTCAGCTCACTGCAACCTCCACCTCCCACACTCAAGCAAACCTCCCACCCCAGCCTCCTGAGTAGGTGGGACCACAGGTGCATGCCACCTCACCCGGCTTATTTTTATATTTTTTGTAGAAGCAGGGTTTCACCATGTTGCCCAGGCTGGTCTCAAACTCCTGGACTCAAGTGATCCCTCAGTCTCAGCCTCCCAAAGTACTGGGATTACAGGCGTGAGTCACCAACCCAGCCTCAGATTTTCAAAATGCAGGTTTTTTCTTTTTTGTTTTTGAGACAGTCTCACTTTGTGGCCCAAGTTGGAGTGCAATGGCACAATCTTGGCTCACTGCAACCTCTGCCTCCTGGGTTGAAGCGATTCTCCAGCCTCAGCCTCCCAAGTAGCTGGGATTACAGGCGCATGCCACCACGTTCAGCTAATTTTTGTATTTTCAGTAGAGACAGGGTTTCACCATGTTGGCCAGGCTGGTCTCGAACTCCTGACCTCAGGTGATATGCCCGCCTCAGTGTCCCAAAGTGCTGGGATTACAGGCGTTAGTCACCGGGCCTGGCCTCAAAATGAAGGTCTTTTACCCACACAAAGTAGCACCAGTTTTCTTGGCACACCACTGATAAGCTTAAACCTAACAGTCTCAAGGAATTTCCTTGATTCCATAATATTAAGTAAAATATTACAGAATTGGCAAAATAGCAACTAAGGATGATGGGCTCTGTAATTAGCTACAAGCTCAAATCATATAAATAGAAATACTTACTGCAAAAAGAGCAGGACCCATATATGTCTCCATGTACTGATAATATAAGGACATTATCTTCACCAGATTCTGTAAAGCAGCCACTCGTACCTTTTATGAAGAGCAGATCAGACAGTTTACTAAAATAACAATGCAATCTGACAAAGTTAGAGTCACTCAAATGGGCCAATAATCCTAAGGATTAATTGAGGTAAATATGGGATAAGCTATCATTTCCCTAAAATTCGTTCTCTCCCTTCAATTCCCTCATTATCCGTTCCTATTTATTTTCCCTCAGTCCCCTCCACCATTTTTTTTTTTTTTGCATTAAAGGTGCATGTGGAACCCACGGTAGGGCTAAATTCACTAATACTATATTCTTTCTTTTTGGGGGAGGGGACAGTTTCACTCTTGTTGCCCAGGCTGGAGTGCAGTGGCGTGATCTTGGCTCACTGCAAACTCTGCCTCCCAGATTCAAGCAATTCTCATGCCTCAGCCTCCCAAGTAGCTGGGACTACAGGTGCCCGCCACCATGCCTGGCTAATTTTTTGTATTTTTAGTAGAGACAGGGTTTTACTATGTTGACCAGACTCATCTTGAACTCCTGGAGCTCAGGCAATCCACTCACCTCAGTCACCTAAAGTGCTAGGATTAAAGGTGTGAGCCACTGCGCCCGGCCATTTCTCTCTTTTTTTTTTGAGACAGTCTTCTTGCTCTGTCACCCTGGTGCAAGTATAGTAGCCATGATCATGGCTCACTGCAGCCTCAACCACCAGGCTCAAGCAATCCTCCCACTTCAGCCTCCCACGTAGCTTGGACTACAGGCTCACCCCATTACGCACAGCTAATTTTTGTCGACATGGAGTTTCGCCATGTTGCCCAGACTGGTCTCCAACTCCTGGGCTCAAGCGATCCTCTGGCCTCAGCCTCCCAAAGTGCTGGGATTACAGGCAGGAGCCACAATACCCAGTCACCCAGTCTTTTTTTTTTCGAGATGGACTCTCCCAGGCTGGAGTGCAGTGATGGGATCTCAGCTCGCTGCAACCTCCACCTACCAGGTTCAAGCGATTCGCCTGCCTCAGCCTCCTGAGTAGCTGAGATTACAGACATGCGCCTGTGAAGTGTTGAGATTACAGGCGTAAGCCACTGCGCCTGGCCTCAGTCCTCTTTTTTTTTTTGTATTAAAGGTGCGTGTGGAACCCATGGTAGGGCTAAATTCACTAATACTATTCAGACTGAAGATGTTACTTCTACCTTCTTGAAGGGTCAGGTTTCGGGTATAGCAATAGCAAAGCTGTTTTTTTTTTTTTTTTTTTTTTGAGACGGGGTCTTGCTCTGTCACCTAGGCTGGAGTGCAGTGGCCGGATCTCAGCTCACTGCAAGCTCCGCCTCCCGGGTTCACGCCATTCTCCTCCCTCAGCCTCCCGAGTAGCTGGGACTACAGGCGCCCGCCACCTCGCCCGGCTAGTTTTTTGTATTTTTTAGTAGAGATGGGGTTTCACCGGGTTCGCCAGGATGGTCTCGATCTCCTGACCTTGTGATCCGCCCGTCTCGGCCTCCTGTTTTAATGGCTAGAGTGGAAAACAATCACTTGAATAAGTGATTGTTGGCAATAAAGTAGCAAATCACTAGGCAATAAAGTAGCAAAGCCAATCAAAAACTTTTTCTCCCTTAACTGTTTGTGTATACATATATTTTTAGTAGAAACGGCTTGAATAACCTACGGCAATGAAGTAGCAAAGCTGATCAAAAATGTCTTCTCCCTTAACTGTTTATTTGTGTATATTTTTTAGTAGAGATGGTGTCACTATGTTGCCCAGGTTGTTCTCCAACTTCTGACCTCAGTGATCCTCCTGCTTTGGCCTCCCAAATTGCTGGGATTATAGTGTGAGCCACCACACTGGCCCCTTAAACCTTTTTTAAGAGGATGGCAACCTCCATTACAATTCTTCCCTCTTCTCCAATGTTTTTATTAATATTAATTATCATGATTACTTTTTGAGATGGAGTCTCACTCTGTTTGCAGTGGCATGATCTCAGCTCACTGCAACCTCCGCCTCCCAGGTTCAAGCAATTCTTTTTTTTTTTTTTGAGACAGAGTCTTGCTCTGTCGCCCAGGCTGGGGTGCAGTGGCCGGATCTCAGCTCACTGCAAGCTCCACCTCCCGGGTTTACGCCATTCTCCTGCCTCAGCCTCCTGAGTAGCTGGGACTACAGGCGCCCGCCACCTCGCCCGGCTAGTTTTTTGTATTTTTTAGTAGAGATGGGGTTTCACCGTGCTAGCCAGGATGGTCTCGATCTCCTGACCTCGTGATCTCCTGGTCTCGGCCTCCCAAAGTGCTGGGATTACAGGCTTGAGCCACCGCGCCCGGCCTCAAGCAATTCTTATACCTCAGCCTCCCCAGCAGCTGGGACTACAGGCACGTGCCACCACACCCAGCTAATTTTTTTGTATTTTTAGTAGAGACAGGGTTTCACCATGTTGGCCAGACTGGTATGAAACTCCTAACCTCAGATAATCTGCTTGCCATGGCCTCCCAAAGTGCTGGGATTACAAGTGTGAGCAACCATGCCCAGCCAGAATATTAATTACTAGTAACAATCAAACCTTATTGCTGAAGTCAACTGATTCCCAATATTTCAAACTTATATTAGATTTGACATTTCCTAGGAAAGATGTGAGACAGATTTTTCACATAACCTTACCCTTATACTTACCCTCGTATCTGGACACTGTGTGGCTTCACAGACCACCTGCATAATAAAGTGCCTTTCAGACTGTAGGAAGAATAAAAATAAAGAGAATTAGGAGAGCATAACCTGTACATAGGAAGATTTCCAGACTCCCTCTACAAGGAAAACCGCTCGCTCCCTCAGGGCCCCACACAGCCCTGCCTGGTACAATCAAGCCACTCTCCCTTGAGATGGTACCGCACTATAAAGGCTATAAAGAGTTTACCTTCGGTGTCTGCTATGTGACTTGCCCTCCAATGAGGTCCCTAATCTTTTAATCTCCAAGATGACCTTCACTAACAAAGACTTCAGGGAGGAAACAGAAAAATGTAGGTCACGAGGTTTAAATAAAAATGGTTGGTTAAAAGATAAAAATCCACATGTAGGAAAATCAATTTCCTTATAGTTAAAATATAAGAGAATTCAAAACATCTGCTTTATTTCAGAGACCAAATTTGTTTTCTGAGAGGTAGCAAATTCACATCAAATGTGGCGAGAAAAGGGAGAATAGAGTAATGAACTTTATGTGCTACCCTCCTAAATCTTCCAAAATCTATTAAGGAAAAATCCAGTTTTTTAATCAATTAGAATTGCCATTTGCTCTGGGGTTTCAGACTTTCCAAAGTCAAGAAATGGTAAAAAGCCAGCTAAAGTGTCAACAAACATATATACAGAAATACTTTCAGACCATGACCCTGGCAATTTTACTTGTAGGTATTTACCCAAAAGGACTGAAAGCAGAGTCTCAAAGACACACATGCATACCCATGTTCATAGCAGCATTACCCACAACAGCCAAAAGGTGGAAGCAAGCCAAATGGCCATGGATGGACGACTAGATAAACAAAATGTGGCATATACATACAATGGAATATTAATCACCCTTGAAAAGCAAATTTTGACAAATGCTACCCCTTAGATGAATCTCGAGGACATCATATTAAAACAAACCAGTTGCAAAAAGACAAATATTATATTATTCCACTTACGTAAGGTATTTTGTTAGAGTAGTAAAATACATAGAAACTGAAAGTAAAATGATGGTTACCAGTGGCTGAGAAAAGGGGAAATGAGGAGTTGTTGTTCAGTATGTACAGTTTCAGTTTTGCAAGATGAAAAAGTTGTGGAGACTGTTTCCACAGCAATGTGAATCTACTTAACTGTACGTTTAAAAATGATTTAAGATGGTAAGTTTTATGTTATTCATTGCATTTTCAGCCAAAAGTTTATATACATATTATATATACACACAAAACGTTTACATATATATTATACACATACATATACATGTGTATATATACATATATCTACACACACACACACACACACACACACACACACATATGTATTTTTTTTTGGAGACAGAGTCTTGCTCTGTTGCCCAGGCTGAAGTACAGTGGTGCAATCTTGAGCCTTGAACTCCCAGGCTCAAGTGATTCTCCCACCTCAGCTTCCCAAGTAGCTGGGATTATAGGCATGTGCCAGAACACCTGGCTATATCCTGTTTCTTAAAAACACCTTCCTAAGGTGGTATAAAACAGACCAATTGCCATAATTTTTATTTATTTCATTTTTCATTCTTTTTCTTTCCATTATAAGCCCTGTAAACACAAGAGCTCACAAAGCTGGTTAAAAACTCAGTTGTTCCTCTCCACAGAAATCTTTATTTTTTTAGAGATAGGGTCTTGTTACATCGCCCAGGCTAGTCTCAAACTCCTCGCTTCAAGTGATCCTCTTGCCTTGATGGCCCAAAGTGTTGGGATTACCAGATGTGAGCCCCAGCACCTAGCCTCCCCAAAATCTTTAGTACAAGGCAAAAGATTTACACAACCTTAAAAGAAACCAAAGTAAACCAAAGTATATAGTACATACCATAATTTCTTTCTTTCTTTTTTTTTTTTTTTTTTTTTTGAGACAGTCTTGCTCTGTTGCTCAGGCTGGAATACAGCGGTGCAATCTCAGCTCACTGCAACCTCTGCCTCCCAGGTTCAAGTGATTCTCCTGCCTCGGCCTCCTGAGTAGCTGGGATTACAGGCGTACGCCACCACGCCCAGCTAATTTTTTTGTATTTTTAGTAGAGATGGGGTTTCACCATGTTGGTCAGGCTGGTCTCGAACTCCTGACCTGATGATCCACCCTCCCCCCGCAACCGGCCTCCCAGAGTGCTGGGATTACAGGCTTGAGCCACCGTGCCCAGCCTATTTCTTTCTTTTAAGAGACTGTATCTGACTTTGTTGCTCAGGCTGGCCTTGAACAACTGGCCTCAAGCAATCCTCCCGCCTCAACCTCTGAAGTAGCTGGAGTACAAGTATGCACCACCATGCCCTATAATTTTAAAAAACCCAACAACATTCCACGCTTTGGACTGCAAAAGGAAAAACTTAAGCTTAGAAACACTTTATTTCCAAAAGCATGATGAGAAATGGCAAACACTCCATGGGCATATCTCACACAATACAAACTGGACTAAACTGGAAACAAATACTTCTAAGTAGGTGGTACTTTCTAAATCATAAACTTAAGAAAACAAAACAAAAAACTTACATTTAACTCCTTCATCCTTTACTGTCTGAATCTATACCTTATTGTGAAAAAACTTACCTCTTTATCAAAGTTTGCTTTGGTGAACTCCAACGAGTTCAGGAGTGCATTAGTAGCAGCTAGCTTCACATTATTACTAGGCTCTTCTTTCCTCATCCCCTGGATTATGGCAGTCAGAATCTCATTGGATTTATCTTGTAGCTGCTCTGGGTCCTGTAACAAGCAAAGAAGTGCAATGAATATACAGTCGGCCCTCTGCAGCCATGGGTTACACATCTGTGGACTCAAGCAACTATGGATTGAAAATATTTAGAGGAAAAAAAATGGATGGTTGCATTTGTACTGCACCAAAAGGTGCGTGTACACCTTTTTTTCTTGTCATCATTCCCTTAATACAGTATACCAACTATTAATATAGCATTTACATTGAATTAGGTATTGTAAGTATTCTAGAGATGATTTAAAGTATAAAGTATATGGGAGGATGTGCATAGGTTATATGCAAATACTATACCATTTTATATAACAGACTTGAACATCTGAGGATTTTGGTACCTGAGGAAGGTGTTAGAATCAATCCACCCCAGAAGACTGCCATAAGGAGCTAAAATATTAGCTTTTTTCCCCCTTCTGTGCAAATGGAGATGGCAGTCTGTTGGTGTTTTCCAGGCCATCTGTACTCTATGGTAAAGCTTCAGGACATTTAAGGGCCAAGGCCAAGGATCAACACCTGGGCATATCTAGGGAGTCTAAGTCCAGGTCAAGTGCTGTGGGCTCCTGTGTTTCATAAAGTCTATATATTAAAATAGACACCAAGAGTGGTAACCTCATCAGGAACAACAGTGCTGGGAGGGCTGCATCTAAAATACCTTGTCTCCAGTGGCTAAACCAACTACATCAAGTGTTGGCAAAACTTTCCGTAATGTAGTAAATTAAAATGCACCACAACAATCATGGTACATTCAGGATCTTAAGAAAAAGGATTGGTCAGGGATGCTCCAAATGAGAATATCCTCATTTTGTAAGTCTAGAATCTAAGACTCTTCAAACATGAACTTCTGTTTTCAGTTTGTGATCAAGTTTCTTAACTTTAGGGCATGATTAGTAATGTGAAGACAGAGGCCTAGGGGAAATAAATCAGTCTTACTTTCAAAACACTGTGCAATTTAGCTTGGCTTTCTTCGTGATTCAATAAGGTAGTACCAATATCATTCATGTCACAGCTAGAGGCAATCAGAGGTATATAAACCAGATACATTAGGCAAGCACTTACTATATCTTGGCAAATATAACCGATAGCTTCCAATGTCGACTCCTTCATGTGCTCTGTGCTGTTGGGGTTTGTGACATTGGCCACCAGCTGAGGAATGAGTTCTGGCCACTGGTTTACTGGGATCTCTGCACAAGCAATACCAGCCACACACTGTGAGGCAGAACTAGGCCGGTAAGTTTCTGTGCCCAATGTCTGCAAAACCTGCACCAAAAAAGACAAAAGATACAAACTTCTAACACTATTTGACCACATTTTGCCCACCACCACACTTCTTATATTAGTGTCTCTGAATTCTTCTTTTTTTTTTTTCTTTTTTAAGACAGGGTCTCACTCTATTGCCCGGATTGGAGTGCAGTGGCACCGTCACAGCTCACCGTAGCCTCACCTCTATGGTGCAATCTATCCTCCCGCCTCAGCCTCCTGAGTACCTGAACTACAGGGGTGGATATGCAGACATACCCAGCTATTTTTTGTAGAGACAGGGCATCACCATATTGTCCAGGCTCTTAAAAAAAAAAAAAAAAAAAAGGAAATACAAGGCCTTACTCTGTTGTCCATGGTGGAGTGCAGTAGCATAACCATAGTGCAGTGGCACAACGATACTGCAGCCTCGACCTCCCAGGCCTCCCCAAGTAGCTTAGACTTGCAGGCACGTGCCATCCCACCTAGCTAACTTTTTTGGATTTTTAGTAGAGATGGGGGTCTCCCTATGTTGCCGAGGCTGGTCTCAAATTCCTGGCTTCCCAAAGTGCTAGGATTACAGGTGTGAGCCACTGCACCCAGGCAGCTGTCTCAGAATTCTTTTTTTTTTTTTTTTTTTTGGAGACAAAGTCTCGCTCTTGTCCCCCAGGCTAGAGCGTGATGGCGCAATCTCGGCTCACTGCAACCTCCGCCTCCCGGGTTCAAGAGATTCTCCTGCCTTAGCACCTCCCGCCAAGTAGCTGGGATTACAGGCGCCTGCCACCATGCCCAGCTAGTTTTTGTATTTTTAGTAGACGGGGTTTCACCATGTTGGCCAGGCTGGTCTCGAACTCCTGACCTCAGGTGATCCACCCACCTCGGCCTACCAAAGTGCTGGGATTACAGGCATGAGCCACCGTGCCTGGCCTCAGAATTCTTATCTATAATATGGAGAAGCAGAAAAGGCTGTCAGAAAAATCCAGCACAGTAGCAACATCAGCATAATCAACACTGCCCCAGAACCTAGAAATAAAACCAGTCATCCCCTGCTTCCAAAAGGAATTCTCCAAAATAACACACCTCACTTCAACCTTCAACACAAGATGGGAAACCAGAAGTTACAAGGGAAGGTAGCAGTAAATGGCAAAGGAGAGAGATGGGGACAAATCTCATCTTCCAGGCTCACTGTTGCTTTTATAACAATAACAACCTCATTTTGTGGACAGACATGGACACTAGAATGAAGCTAGTTCTGGGGCATTCAGGTGGGTCTGATTCACAGTAGATCACTATCTAACCTGATCCAAGGAGATCTCACTCATGAGACGTGGGCTGAAACAAAACGTTTTCCTTCTAATCACTGACAACCCAGCACTCTGGGTGACTTACATAGAAAGGCCTTGGTCAAGTAACAACATCACTAAATACAAAAACAAAGTTGCTGATGTTAATAACACCCATGAACTTATCTTTATATAACTTCCAATTTGAAAGGATTTGTTCTGTTTGCCCAAGAATCAAAGAACTGTTCTCTCTACCACTGACAGAATCTAGCCAGATGTCAAAACAAGATCCACTTGTCATTAAACATGTCTCGCTTGACATGGTAACCACACCACCATTTATGTAAAGGGTAATGGCACAGGTATGATAAAAGATGAAGTCACAATTGACCTAGAGTTAATCATTACCATGATCAGCTAATTCAGTCAATGAACTCACTAAGAATCACCAGTCCACTCAAAGGCAAACAGTTAACTGTTCTGGCATGAATACGGGACAAAGAATAGCTGCCAGATATTTAGACCAGCTCTGCTGACTGGGTTGGATCACTTAGTATCCTGCTTTGCAGCAGCTAGTACCAATAATGAACTCCCCCTTTCCTTCTTATATGGTATATCATCATCCCTGGCCCCCACCCCCATCAGCTCTACCCAACACTAAACAGTTCTGATTGACGTTGAATGAAAGGCTTTGCTCTGGAGGACCAGCAGAGCTAGAATGGACAAAAACTGTATGTCAAAGACATGAGGGAACAAGGGGGAAAAACAAGGTGAATTGTCCAAAATGCCAGAGGCTGAATGGATATTATTAACCCAAGTCCAGGGTGCCTTCACATCGCACTACATCATATCCTAGTACATATGTGGAGTGCACTGAATCCCATTCTACTTTTACCTTTTTCCTTTAGATTGCTTTCTGAAGACTCCATATTACTTGAGGTGATTAAGAAACTACAAATGTCCAACTCCTGGGTACTAAAAGTTTTCTGTTTAAACTAGAGGTAACCTTAATAGTAATATTCAATTACCAAAAAAGAGAAACTGGCTCAATTGTGTCCCAGTATCCAGATTTCAAAAAAGATCACTGACAGTGAAACTTAGTATTATCAGTTGTGCTATGAAAGAGAAAAAGGCCAAGGTAACTGTTAGCCTTTTTTTTCCCCATGCCCAAGGGCTTAACCATGCCTATACAAATTATTATCTAATATTTATTTATTTATTTTTAAAGAAACGGAGTCTCACTCTGTCACTCAGCCTGGAATGCAATGGCACAAACTTAGCTCACTGCAATCTCTGTCTCCCAGGGTCAAGCAATTCTCCTGTCTAAGCCTCCTGAGTAACTGGGACTACAGGTACCCGCTACCACAGCCAGCTAATTTTTGTATTTTCAGTAGAGACAGGGTTTTGCCATGCTGGCCAGGCTGGTCTCGAACTCCTGACCTCAGGTGATCCACTCGCCTCAGCCTCTCAAAGTGCTGGGATAACAGGCATGAGCCACTGCGCCCACTTGTTTTTTTTAAAGGTTGGTGTTAAGAGTGATGTGCCAAAAAATAAGCCAATTCCAATTCCAATTACATCTTATCCCATTTACTAGTGTGTAATTTAAGAAGATGAGAAACTGAATGGGCACTATCAGTATCGAGATTTCCAGTGATAGAATATACTTCCATTTATGTCACTTAGCTGAGAGAGAAGGAATTAAAATGTTATTATTACACAAGCAGACCCAACATGAATAGAAACAGCTCTACATATTCCAAAAAGATTTGAAACCAAGTTGGATTTAATAAGCTGGCTCCCTATCATGGGTATGCAAAATTGGTGACAGAAGGAGGTACACAACTAGATAGAGAAGTTGTTGCCTTACAGGGCACTACTTTACCTAACGCTGATATCTAGAACCAGGAATTAGCAAGTATGATGTGCATAACCGTGACTTGCACAAGTACATATGTAGGAATTCCCTACTAGTTTCCACTCAGATACCAAGGACAAAATGATGATTGCACAGGTATTTAACTCACTCCTCTTTGTGCCTTACCCATGTCAGACAGATCACTAAAGAACTTAATTTAAAAACAGCCAGGCGAAGTGGCTCACGCCTGTAATCCCAGTACTTTGGGAAGACAGGCAGGCAGATCATCAGAGGTCAGGAGTTCAAGACCAGCCTGGCCAACACGGTGAAACCCCCATCTCTACTAAAAATACAAAAATTAATTAGCCAGCCTAGTGGCGTACGCCTGTAATCCCAGCTACTCAGGAGGCTGGGGCAGGAGAATCACTTGAACCCAGGAGGTGGAGGTTGCAGTGAGCTGAGATTGCGCCATTGCACTCCAGCCTGGGCAACAGAGCAAGACTCCCTCTCAAAAAATACAAACAAGCAAGCAAAAAAACAAAACAAAACACCAGTCCATATATTCTGAGTCCTTTGCTTCATTTAGAACTATGAATTTCTAATTCAACAAGACAGTAACAAGAATGTCATGATTCAAAATTCATCACCTTTTCTCCCCAAAATTCATCCCACTCTAAATGCCCTGGGAAAAAAGTCAAGTGTTTCTGAAGAAAGATTTTTTATAATTGGCTAAGTAGATAAAACACCATTAACGTCACACTCCTATTTCACAAACTCTTTGGGCCTCCAAGGCCCAAGAGATCATGTAACTTTCCTTCTGACTCCACATAGTGCCATGCTAAACCAGCAAAGATTGAGATTTTTTTTTTTTTTTTTTTTTGAGACTGAGTCTCACGCTGTTGCCCAGGCTGGAGTGCAGTGGCGCGATGTCGGCTCACTGCAAGCTCCGCCTCCCGGGTTCCCGCCATTCTCCTGCCTCAGCCTCCTGAGTAGCTGGGACTACAGGCGCCTGCCACCGCGCTCCGCTAATTTTTTGTATTTTTAGTAGAGACGGGGTTTCACTGTGGTCTCGATCTCCTGACCTTGTGATCCGCCCGCCTCGGCCTCCCAAAGTGCTGGGATTACAGGCTTGAGCCACCGCGCCCGGCCAAAGATTGAGATTTAAACAGCAGAAGTTCAACAAGAGCCAGGTGCTGGTTGACTGGATAATCACTTGGGGAGACAGTTTAAAAAACATCCCTTGGCCAGGTGCAGTGGCTCACGCCTGTAATCCCAGCACTTTGGGAGGCCGAGGCAGATGGATCATGAGATCAGGAGTTCAAGACCACTCTAGCCAAGATGGTGAACCCCCGTCTCTACTAAAAATACAAAAATTAGCTGGGCGTGGTGACGGGTGCCTGTAATCCCAGCTACTTGGGAGGCTGAGGCAGATAACTTCTTGAACCCGGGAGGCAGAGGTTGCAGTGAGCCAAGATCATGCCATTGCACTCCAGCCTGGGCAACAGAGCAAGACTCCGTCTCCAAAAAAAAACAAAAAAGTGCCTGAGCTGTACTCCAGAAGTACCAAATCGGAATTTCTGGAGAGCTGGGAAATACGTATTAACAAATTCCCTAAGTGATGTGGGTATACAGCACCAATTTATACACTACTCCCATTTGTCAAACAGATTTTTACAAATTATGACACACAATTAAAGTTTCCCAAGCTGCTGCAGCCTACCTCAATCATCTAAAAAGAATTCCAATCCATCAATGGGAATGGACAAGCTGTGTTGAGAAAGATTTAAGACAAAGACAATTTTTATCTTTAGGTGAAGTTCAAGTCCCAGAAACCTATCACACTGTCAGCTCTATCCCATGCAAATAGCAAAAGATCTGAGAAAGCAATTTCTTGTTCTCTAGGTAATATAACCAAACAGATGAGTGTTACTCACATAGTTCTTGACTTCTCGTCGAGCATTAGCATCAATAGCAAGCCACCTCTGCTGATATTGTGCCTTGATATCTGGATCTTTAGATGTCAAAGAGTTCTTGATTTGTAGACCAGCTGCAACTCTGGCAACCTGACTATTTCCTGGATTTGCCAGCACTCTGGACAGTTCCACAAGGAAAGTGGGCTGTTAAGGGAAGATAAATTTGTAAATAAAATTATCTTAGGAATTTCCACAACTGAGAATAATTTATGGAGCACTGAACCACCGGAGGAGGGGTGAGGTGGGGGGGGGAACTAATGTCTAATTTTTTTTTGGTATATCATAAGCATCTCAGGAAACCACAAAATACCTACTACAAGACTTCTATAAAAATGTTACTTAGTATATAACAGGAAGTCTTCCACTTTTCTCATGGAGCCTAGCACTTAATGAGGAATTGCAGATTTTCCTATCAAAATCATTCCTAGTACCCAAATTGTCACGTTATACTCCCTGAATTGCAAGGTTTTAGAGTATGGTAGTAGTTAGTCTTCTGTGTATACTGAGGTGTCCCAAGAATTCTTAATAATGTCTGGTACTTGAATGAATGGCTGTTACGATGCGGGTAGAAAATAAAACTGTTTATCTAAATTTCAAAAACCTTGGTCCCAAAAGAATGATCCAACTTTCCATCTCATGGCAGCAGCAGGGTAGCTTTTCATCCCATGGAAGGAGGTGATCTTTTATGAGAGAGGGAAATATAGATAAGCCTAAACAAACTTAGGAGCCTCATCCTCCGTTTTATTTGTGGGCACTCAGCAAAAAGGGAACAACGAAAAAAGCGGATTTACAAGGAAAATTGGTAAGATATTTAGAAATAGGGAAAAAGTGAAAGAAAAAAATGTTCAGGCAAGCTGTTCAAGAAAAATAACTTTGTATCTAATAATCAACAATTACTTGCTCCTATACATTTGGACTTTAGTTGAGGAATACAGTGGATCCCTGAAAAGCATGTTCTTTTGTAACCTTTTGTAATCCACAGGCCTCAAAAACTACTCCCTTTGTTTAAAAATTTAACACACACACCTCTCTCTCCAGCAAAAAAACCGTGCCCAAACAGCAAAGTTAGCAGGAAAAGCCAAAAGCAGATACATTTTTCTTACTGCTAACAAGTTCTGCAATCACAGCAGAAGATAATTCTTAAAAGTTTTATTAATTATGTACCACTAAAGAATGTTAAGAATGTTAGGAATAAGATAAAAAGCTTCTTGCAAAATTAGCAAAAGCAGAAACAGGAATAATACCCTAAATGGAATTATCAGCCTATACTAGTGGAAAAATCTATTCTAGGAAAGGATAAACAGGTTAGTTGTAAAAATTGGCACATATGAAGAACAAAAAAAAAATCATTCAAAGGCAGCCTGTATAAAATAAGCCTTGTCACTTTGTTGATGTTGACATTTTGCCTATATAACACAAAGAAACACATATGGTTACAATGTTATTCAGACTTATTTCCTATTACCTTTCTCAAAGATGTCAAGCATCATCCAATCCTTCCCTCTGACCCCATCTCCCAATAGGAGATGGACACCAAAGAGAAACTTAACTGGCATCTAGGCTGTTTCAACCAATCCATCCTACATTTTTATACAAAGGACCAGTCTCTAGCGGACTTAGCTTCATTTTCTCCGGACCCCTTAAATTTTAAAATATGAAAAACGAGTAACTTTCCTCTGTGATTTCATCAGGAAACAGGCCCGATCTCAAAGATGAGCCTCAGACTGTTGTCTGGGTGCAGATCCCTAGTGATTAGGTTTCTATTCATCCAGGTCAGAAGGAAAGGAAAAAAAAAAAAAAGGAAGAAAAAGAAAATACCCCGAGAGGAATAACCGGGCAGAAGAGGGAAAAATATTAGTGGAAATGGGTTAAGAGGCAGTCGGGTGCCAGGCCTGGCCATGAGCACACACCAAGGTAGCGAGGAAAGGGCAGAGCTCTAGGAAATAGGTGGGGAGAGCCACAGGGGCCACGGGACAGGAAGGATAAGCCGGCCGGGGTCAGACAGGGAGGGCACCCGGGCCCAGAGCTTCCACATGGCCCCTAGGCCTGACTCCCCCACCCCCACCTCTGCTGAACACGCAGCGCCGCGCAACCTAACTTCCCTTCCCTCCCTCTTTCTCCCTCCCGCTGCACCGCCGCCCTCAGGCCGCGCAATGATTGGGCGACAGGCAGCCCGGCGCGCCCCGCCATTGGCCAGTCGCAGGGCCCGGGGCGGGACACACCCACCGGCTTCCCGATGGCGGGGTTAGGTTGGACCGGGTTGGGGGGGAGGGGGACGGGATGGGGCGGGGTAGGTTCCCGAGGCCTGGGCCTCCCGGAGGGCGGGAAGGCCCCGCACGCAGGGGATGGGGACGCGGCGGGATGGGCGCGGCGGGGTAGCACGCACCAGGTTCTCCACGGCCGCACGCTCCAGGAACTTCTGCGCCGCTTCCAGCTCCAGCCGATCTGGGGGGAGGAAAGTGGGAGACGGAGCGGGGTCAGAGGGGCCGGGCCTCCCCTCCCCCACCCCAATCACCTCAGCCCGACCCCCGGCTCCTGCGTCCTACCGGGAGACACGGTCTTCTCGAGGATGGTGATCAGCTCCATGGCGGAGGTGGCGGCGGCGGCGACTCCTCCTAAGACGACGGCCCGGCCTTTCGGGCGGCGGCTCGAACTGGGGATGGGGGTTGGGGGTCGGGTGGGAAGGGAGGGTGGGGTGGGGGGCGGGGGTCACCACAAGCCCATTCACCGGCTCTTTCTGGGTAGTCGCTCCAGCTCCCCTTAGTCTCTTCTTCTCTTACTTCCTCCCTCCGAATGGGCTGCTGGCAGCGGGGGAGGGACCCCGGGGGCAGCTCAGAGCGCGCTGGTGCTCGGGAGGCGGAGGGAGAAAGAAGGAAGAGAAGCTGTGAGTGAGAGGCGGCACGCAGGGAGGGAGCGAGGGCGGGAGGAAGGCGGAGGGATATTCGGGCCGGACCTCGCCGCGGCGGCGCCGCGCTCCACGGCGATTGGCCGCTGTTCTGGCCACGCGGAATCCCCAATTGGCCAGGCGCTCAGCGTCGAAAGGCCGCCTTTCGCCCATTCGCCTGCTGGTTTCAAGGCCCGGGGTGGCTGGGCGGGCAGGGGAATGGAGCGCCCTAATTGGCCGAGGGGAGGGAGATTGGGATGGGGCCGGAGAGAGCCCGCCGCTGATTGGGTTGGGCTTGGTAAAGGCCTTGAGCTCAGACCGGCTGAGCGCCGAGGAGGGTGGACCGAAGGCACGACTCGGAGCCTGCGCGATTGGCTGGGATAGTGGGCGTTGATAGGATAGGGTGCCTGGGAGAACTGGGGAGAGGAGTTCGGGGTCGGGGCGCGGGAAGGCGGGAGGCGCCCGGCTGCCCTCGGAGCCCGGCGCGGGGCACGATGGGACGCCCCCGGGAAGAGGCGGAGCTGGGTTCGACCGCTGGGGCTGCGGTTGGGTAAGCGCCGTCGCTCCGAGGGGCGTGTTGAGCGAGGCTTTCGCGGGCGTGAGCGGGGGAGGGGGGACCGTTGAAGTCCTGCGCCGCGCCCGCAGGAAGCTGCTTTAATGGCTAGGTCGGCTTGGTACCCTGCTCTTGGCTGGGACGGATCCGTAAGGCCATGTGGCTCCACTTGAAATGTGTAGATGTGGAAACTGAAGCCCAGAGAGGGTATGGAACTTGCCCAAAGTCACACAGCCGGTTAGTGGCTTGGTAAGGAATGGGTTCAGGAGCCTAGAGGGTATGGAACTTGTCCAAGGTCGTACAGCTGGTTAGTGGCTTGATAAGCTCAAGCTCTCCTGACTGCCGTTGTCCCTACAAGCAGCTTTCTCTCCAAGGAGTCCCCTAGGCCTGCTTATATAGGGCTTGAGACCTGTACTAAGTCTGACTTGCTTAGGGGTGAGCTAAGGGAATCCTACACTTAGACACCCCATCCTTGACAGAATGGAAATGCTTCACCCTGTAAAGGCTCAACCTCGAACCAGAAAGAATGTGTGTACAGGCATAAAGGATCGTGGTTCTTGACCTGTTTTAGTTCTGAACTCCTGAAGAAACTCATGAATGCCTTTTCTTAGCAAAATGCATATAAAGAAAATGTGGGCCGGATGCGGTGGCTGATGCCTGTAATCCCAGCACTTTGGGAGGCCGAGCGGGGCGGATCACGAGTCGGAGACCATCCTGGCCAACATGGTGAAACCCCGTCTCTACTAAAATACAAAAAAATAGCCCGGCGTGGTGGCGCATGCCTATAGTCCCAGCTACTCCTGAGGCCGAGGCAGGACGATCTCTTGAACCCTGGAGGCAGAGGTTGCAGTGAGCCGATATTGCGCTCCGTCTCAAAGAAAAGAAAAAAATGTGCATACAGTATCTTGACTTTCTTTGACATTGGTAAGTGGGCTGTAGGTTAAGAATTTCCTAGGCTGGGAGCAGTGGCACAGACCTGTAATCCCAGGACTTTGGGGGGATCGCTTGAGCCCAGGAGTTCAAGACTAAGCTGGACAACGTAGCGAGATCCTGTCTCTTTTAAAAAATAAAGATTTTTAAAATGATAAAGGAAAAGTGTAATAATGGGGCCGGGCGCAGTTGCTCATGCCTGTAATCCCAGCACTTTGGGAGGCCGAGGCGGGCGGACTTGAGGTCAGGAGTTCGAGACCAGTCTGGCCAACATGGTGAAACCCTGTCTCTACTACAAAATACAAAAAAAAATACAAAAAAAAAAAAAAAAAAAGCTAGCCGAGCATGGTGGCACACGCCTGTAATCCCAGCTTTTTGGGAGGCTGAGATGGGAGAATCTCTGGAACCCGGGAGGTGGAGGTTGCAGTGAGCCGAGGCTTCACTACTGCACTCCAGCCTGGGCGACAGTAAGACTCTCAAAAAAAAAATAAATAAATGGGAACAAAGAATTTCTTGAATTGTTTCGTTTTCACAGTACTGGTGTAGGGGTAATTGAATGTAGCAGTTCATAGAGCTCTTTAACATATGACTTGAGCTTGTGAGGTAATTGCCCTGCACTAGCCACACTGGGAAAACCTAGGAGGAAGTCTGACTTTGCTGAAGGGTTTCACAAAGAATTGGGAAAGCTTGGCGAACTCTTTGTTAAAAGAGGAAGAAATGGTCTTTCTCTGCTAGAGATATCTTTGCAGTTTTGAAGCTAAAAATGTAGGGACACCGTTCCTCATACCATACTGTGACTAGTGGATTTCCCATGGCTTAGCAGTTCCCTAACCCCAGCCTTTTGCTTCATCTATTAACTGTGGAAGAACTGCCCTGTGTAACTTTGTTATAAATCAGTGAAGATTGGGCAGGGCGTGGTGGGTCACGCCTGTAATCCCAGCACTTTGGGAGGCTGAGGTGGGCAGATCACCTGAGGTCAGGAGTTAGAGACCAGCTTGGCCAACGCGGTGAAACCCTGTCTCTACTAAAATACAAAATTAGCCGCGCGTGGTGGTGGGCACCTGTAATCAATCCCAGCTACTCAGTAGGCTGAGGCAGGAGAATTGCTTGAACCCGTGAGGCAGAGGTTGTAGTGAGCCAAGATTGCATCACTGCACTCCAGCCTGGGTGACAGAGCAAGACTCCATCTCAAAAAAAAAACCAAAACAAAACACTGCATTCCCGCCTGGATGCCAGGGCAAGACTCTATCTCAAAAAAAAAAAAAAAAAGAAATCAATGAAGATTTGCCGTGCATGGTGGCTCACGCCTGTAATCATAGTACTTTGGGAGGCTGAGGCTGGAGGATCACTTGAGCCCAGGAGTTTGAGGCCAGCCTGGCCAACATGGTGAAACCCTATCTGTACTAAAAATACAAAAATTAGCCGGGTGTGGTGGCGGGAGCCTGTAATCCTAGCTACTCGGGAGGCTGAGGCAGGAGAATCACTTGAACCCAGAAGTCAGAGGTTGCAGTGAGCCAAGATTGTGCCAGTGCACTCCAGCCTGGGCGACAGTGAGACTGCCCCCCCCTCCCCCCTGCAAAAAAGTCAATGAAGATTAAGTAAGATGACATCTGTGAAAATCCTGGAATTGTCCTTACATGAGTTACCTACACTACAAATTATCCATAATTTGTTTCACTCAGGCTAACTTTCCCCTGCTCTCCAGCAGTTTGCTGGGCTACCTCTGTCTCAGCATCAGTCATGATGATACCAGTGAGGGCAAATGGATTTTTGAGACAGAGTCTTGCTCTGTCACACGGGCTGGAGTGCAGTGGCGCCATCTCGGCTCACTGCAACCTCCGCCTCCTGGGTTCAGGCAATTCTCCTTTGCCCTTAGAATATAGACAAAACCACTTGCATGTCAGGTAAAGTCTTGTATGGTCTTGCCTCCACTCAACACCAGCTTGACTCAATCCCTTGTTCTCCCAAGTAGCTGGGATTACAGGTGCCCACCACCACATCCAGCTAATTTTTTTTTTGTATTTCAGATGGGGTTTCACCACGTTGGCCAGGCTGACTTCAAACTCCTAACTTCAAGTGATCCACCCGCCTCGGCCTCCCAAAGTGCTGGGATTACAGGTGTGAGTCACCGCGCCTAACCTATACAATTTTGAAAAAGGCAGGCATGGTGGCATGTACTTCAGGAGGGTGAGGCAGGAGGGTTACTTGAGGTCAGGAGTTCAAGGCTTCAGTGACCTATGATCCTGCACTCCAGCCTGGGTGACAGCTGGACCCTGTGGCTGAAGTAAAATGCTGAGAAAATGAAAGTTTTGCAGCAAAGTTCCAATCGAACATAAAATCCTTACCAAAATCAAAATGAACTGACTTTAGTTGAACTAAAGTTACTGATGATGCTGTTTAGTTCCCATCAAAAGTACATTCAATAAATGCTGGTGAGGTACTGGAGCTTGAGTGATGAGCACAGACTCCAGAAATTGACTGCCTGAGTTCCTATCCCAGCTCTACCACTTCTTAGTTTGTGAGTTAACTTTCCTCAATGTAAAATGGGACTATTAATTGTCCTTACTATGTAGGGACAAATGGGGAGGTCCTAAGTGAGTTAAGACCTGGTGAATGGGCTGAGTGCAGTGGCTCATGCCTATAATCACAGTGCTTTGGGAGGCTGAGGCTGGAGGATCACTTGAGCCCAGGAGTTTGAGGCCAGCCTGGCCAACATGGTGAAACCTCATCTGTACTTAATACAAAAATTAGCTGGGCCTGGTGGCAAGAGCCTATAATCCCAGCTACTTGGGAGGCTAAGGCAGGAGAATCATTTGAACCCAGGAGGTGGAGATTGCAGCAAGCCGAGATCACACCACCGCACTCCAGACTGGGTAACGCAGCTCAAAAAAAAAGAAAAAGAAAAATATGGCAGCTTTAATTTTAATTTTTTAAAAAGAAAAAATAAAAGACTTGGTGAATGCCAGTCTAGCATGGCTATTATCTACTTACCATGTATTTTATGCTAAGTGAGTGGTCCTTGGTCTGTTAGGGAAGATAGACTTTAATCATTTTATCTCTCAAACATGTGAAGTTGTAAAAGTGACATATGGCAAGGAAAGTTCCAGTCAGGGAGTTCAGGGAAAGCTTAGTTGAGGAAGGGAAGAGAGTCACTCAGGTGAAGAAGAGAGGAATAGTGTGTATGGAGGCTCTGTGGTGGGAAGGAGCTTGGGGATTACAACTGCAAGAATGCCAGTGTCCCCAAAACAGAGAACAAGGGATTGAGTTGAGCTAGTGTTGAGTGGAAGCAAGACCACAAGACCTTCCCTGCCATGCAAGTGGTTTTGTCTATATCCTGAGAGCAAAGGGGAGCTATTGAAAGGTTTTAAGAAGGATGGTCATTACAATGTAGAGATTGGATGGGAAGGGGAAAGAGTAGATGCAGGGAGACCAGTTAGGAGGCCATTGCAGTAATCACATAGGACATGATACTTGTGAAAAGGAGAAGGGTGGAAGTCGTGGTGGAAACACAGAGATAGCAAAATTAATTGAGCTTGGTGATTTTTGTTTGTTT